ACACATCCTACTGGGGATGTGCCCGCAACTAAGGTACATGACCTTGACCGGAATCGAACCTGGACCTTTTGGTCCGCAGGCCGATGCTCTATCCACTGAGCCAAACCGGTTACGGCCAGATGCATTTCTTACATATGACAGAGTTGACTGAAAGAGTAAAGAGAAAAATAAATTGATAGGATAAATATCTTCATATCACTCTATCATTATTTTGTCATTAATATTTGTTGAACAGAACCATATTGTATGGAGATTTAAAAGGTATTATTATTTATCATACAGAGACATCTATAGGTTTTTGGTACCATCTTATACATAAAATCGTCAATAACAACACTTGTCAATTTCTCCAGTTATGTGGGCAGGAAATTCTCTGGGTAGTAATTATGTAGGATGAGGCAGAGTAAGTACCATTCATGCTGTCGACATCTCCTGAAGCTACTAGTTGTCCTTGAACTTGGATGGTAGAAAATGCACCTTCCCCTGCATTCTAATTAATTTTTTGTAACTAAATCACCTCAGCTCTGATTCTAGTTAATGGGGGAGAATTCTGAGAACAGGTAATAACTAATAAATTGGGTTAGAATACATTTTTAATTTTTTAACAGTAATCAAATTTAAAATTTTATAATTTAGTGTGTGAAATCATATTTGCCAATTTGAGTTTACATAGTGATAAAATGATTTCCTCTCTTCTCAATATTTTGCTCACCAAAATGGGCATATGATTTATACGTCTGGGGTGGAAGTAGGAATGATACTGCATTAAAATTACCATACAAAACTGTTATAATATGAAATTAATCTCTCTCATTAAACTTCTCAAAGTCTTAAGTACTTTGCATTTCCTGTACCAACATTCCCATTATTATATTTAAGTATAGACTATAAAATCTAAGTAATCTTTTCTGTCATTAGTCCTATTGGCATCATTTCTCTTGACACACTCATTTGCTTTGAATTTTGTCTGGGCTGAGGACTCCCACATTTTTATCTCCATCTCAGACTTCTCTGGCATGGTGAACTGAGTGGTCTCAATGAATGCCTGTTCTGGTCACCTGTGGTGATTCCTATCATAGTGACCAGTACCTCCACCCCTCCACTCGCTTCTGCCAGAACCTGGTATTTCTTCCTACTTCCATCTCCCCTGCTCCTTAAACTTACATCCTCTTAAGTCTATTTCCTAATCCCATGTTAAATTATTTACTCCTTTCTATTTCCACTGTAAAGGTATCATTTATAAGCTGTGTTAATGCCATATAATAGCCTCTGAACTCTCCCCGTCATCCACTCTTTGCCACGGAAATCTACTCTTTATGCAACAGCCAGCATGGCTGATCGTACCCCTCCCCTACTGAAACCCTCTAACAGCTGGAGATGAAACCCTTCATTTCAATGAAGATGAGGAACCAGACACCTTAGCATGATGTGAAGGGAGAAGATTCAAAGGTCAGGAAAGTGTACAGGAACTCTTCAATATGTTTGATAATTCCAAGAATAAAAACTAACAGAGCCAACACTATACTCAGATCCAGTTTTAGTGTAGGAACCCTGTAAAAGAGACAGGGGTGATATATTTTAAGCAGGACTATGGTGTGATATGTAGAATTTGAACACTCGTTATAAGATTGACAGTGGTTATGTCATTCATTAAAATGTATAGCAGTAGTAAATTGTATGAGCCTCACTACTCACTCACATTCTAAACTTCTTCTGTACATGGGTTTAATACTCCTCAAAATGAGCAAAATGAGTTTTGTACTACCAAGAATTGTCCTGCTATCAAATCTTTCATGAATGTATTCCTATACTTGAATTTAACATTTGGTTCCATAGATGTGATATGAAAAAAGATTATTCTGTGATATGTTTAACAGTTAGATCTTGTTGAAATACTGTAGAAATCATTGATTATCTGATCTCCTTCCCCCCACTCTTTTTGCAAAGTTATAGATTTTCATGATAATATGTATTTGTTCAAGTCCCACCCACCATAATAGGTGCCAACTCCGCCAATGAAGTCTCAGTTGTACTCAGTCACGACACCAGCCTTGAATGCCAGGTCAAGGGCACTCCCTTCCCAGTGATTGACTGGTTCAAAGATGGCAAGTGAGTATCTTTTCTGTATTTGTTACAAGGGTATTTATAGGAAATCGATGTGTAAATGCATATGGATTTTCTCTTAATTATTTTACCTCGTGGACTATTATTGAATGAGCATGACAGAAGACAATATTGCTCAAAAAAATGGTCTCAAAGCCTTACAATACCTTTCGTTCTTATGAATTACAAAGCTCTTTATAATTGCTGGGGATTTTATTTTAGAAACATATGAAACTCAAGTTTATTATACACGAAATAGTCTGTCCACAGGATAAGAATTTTTAAAAAATAAAAAATGTAACATCCAAATGCAGAAGTGATTTTGCTTTGATATGGGAATTGTTTGAATTACTTAAAAAGAAAATGTGTTGCCCTGGCCAGTGTGCCTCAATGGCTAGAGTGCCAATCTGAGCACCCAGGGGTCACAGGTTCAATTCCTGGTCAAGGGGACATACCTGGGTTGCAGGTTCGATCCCTGTCGCTGGTCAGGGTATGCAGGAGGCAACCAATTGATGTATCTCTCTCACATTGTGCTCTCTCTCTCTCTCTCTCTCTCTCTCTCTCTCTCTCTCTCTCTCTTTCTCCTTTTCTCGTTACCTCCCTCCCTCTGTCTCTCCCTTCCACTCTATCTAAAAAGCAATGGAAATATACTTGGATGAGGATTAACAAAGAAAAGAGAAGGAAAAAGAAAAGGAAAATGTGTTTACTACAACAAGATAGGAATACTTAATCTAGTTCTCTATACAGGCAAAAAGGTACAACCACAGAAGAGCAGTCAGATGTTTCTTAGACTTCAAGTTCAAAGTCTGCTGAGGTTTGCCCACACTGATATAACTGCATGATTTGTATTGTTTGTGAGAGTTCATTTCTCATGGCATGGTCACAATTCATGTGTTAGAGTAGTTCCTCAGAGCAAGTCTATAAGACTAAGCAGCCAAGAGTAAAACTTTGCAGTGTAAATAAAGGACTGTATGCAAACTTTTTAAAGATCAGTAAGCCAAACAACAGCATAGAAAAATGTATGGAGGGTATGAACAGGCAATTAAAAATATATTAAGTAAGCAATAAATGTATTAGAAGATGCTCACCCTCAATAATTTGGAAAATGTACACAAAAAAATCATACGACTTTATTGTTCACAAGTCAGGCAAAAATAAAAAAGTAAAATTTGAAAAATATCATGTATTTGCTAGAGAATGGGAAATTTGGATATAGTATTCTGCTGGGTAGAATGTGAACTGGTACTATGAAAGGTACTACTTGTTTATTAACATAGCAATGCTTATAATTATGTATCGTGTGGTTAAGACACTGGTACTATTAAGATTTGAATGCTCTAGCCTGATGGGTGTGGCTCGGTGGTGGAGCGTCGAACTATGAACCAGGAGGTCACAGTTCAATTCCTGGTCAGGGCACATGCCCAGGTTTTGGGCTCCATCCCCATTGGGGGGCATGCAGGAGGCAGCCGATCAATGATTCTCATCATTGGTGTTTCTATCTCTCGCTCTCCCTTCCTCTCTCTGAAATCAATAAAAATATATTTTTTAAAAAGAAAAGATTTGAATGCTCCTATGCTCCTATGCTGTCATGGAGCAATTACACCTTCAGCATCTAGAGCAGGAAGCAGTCATGGTGTCCAAAGGACGGCCTTTGCATGTGGAGTTTCTCCTTCGATGATAATATCTCGATGATATTCCCTGCATATAAGCATAACCAATGGACATAAGACACTGGTGGGTAGGGGAGGCCAGGGGATTGTCAAGGGTGGGGGGGAAAAAGGAGAAATATGTAATACTCTTTGTAATAATTTAAGCAATAAAAAAAAAATAAAGGAAATACTTATTTATCATTCAAAAAAAAAGAACACAATGCTATTTATGTACAAAAACGTTATTGTTGAGTGAAAAGTAGAACAAGAACACAATGCTATTTATGTACAAAAACATTAGATTACCTTGGAAATACATTTATGGGTGAAAATATTTAGGAAAACGTGGGAGAATACAAACCAAACTGATAATGGTGGGAGGTCTAGAGAGAAGACTCACATTAGGGGTAATAAACCAAGAAGCCCTTTCCTTATTATAATGCTTACATTTTTTACTTCTTTAAATTATGATGTTACTTGCATAATTAACAATTAGTAAAAGTTTTAAAGTTACTTAAATTTGAATGACTGTATCAAGTATTCACTTCCTTAAACAGTTAAAATGCATTAAACTAAGGTACTTTGTTCTCTTAGCTTTTAAGAACTTTATAAAAATGTCATGCAAGAAGTAGTAAAGGATGCTAGCAAAGAAATGAAATGTGTTTCCATTTAATCTTATAGTCTGACTAGTGGCTTATTAATAGGGCAGTGCTTCTAATTAGGTATCATGTGGTTAAGTCACTGCAACTTTTTAAAAACTAGCTGTGAGTATTCCTAAAAATAAGATCAACGGATTTTAAAGAGATGACTCTTGGGATATCATAGACTTTAATAACCATAATGTTTGAGTATTAAGTAAAGCTGTTGCCAGTTGTATAAAGTGAGCATTTAATAGTCAGTAAATGGCTCGGTAGCAGAAAAAGACTTCCTAGACAACTATATATGAGCTGCTTTTGTCATAAATATCTTTCAGTATTTATGATTAAAAAACCATTCATATTTACTGTAATATCTGCTTTTTAGAAAAGTTGGCCTGGTCATTGCCTTCAGTAAGTAATAACCATTTTTTCTATTGTGAATACTTTTCCAGATAGTGATATAGTGATAAGGTTCAAAAATAATATTGTTTGGCCTGAAGCTCCTATACTCTTGGTTTTTCTTTTCTAAATGCTGGTAGAAATATTGGCTGTGCAAACCCAAAATGAAAAGATAAAAAAATTTAAAAAAGCAAAACAACCAGAAGAAGAAAAAGAGGAAGGGATGAATGACTGAAGCAGATAATGATGCTGCCAGTTTGCTATTAATATTATTCAACACTTTAAGTTCAAAAGGAAGAAACTCTTCATCTTAAAGTGATAATTATCTCACTTGCATTAGTGGAGTAGTTTAATAATTCCATTTTTCTCAGTAGGAGTACCAAGCGCATCATTTTTTTCTAGATTTATACTAAAAAATTCAACTTTGATTTTTAACCTCCTATGACAATGATTTTTGTTGTGATTAAGAAGAGAGGAAATATAGGAAAATAAAAATAGACTCATGGAATAAAATTTTTTTTCTAGGCCTTTATTTTTAGGAGATCCTAATATTGAACTTCTAGACAGAGGACAAGTTTTACATTTAAAGAACGCGCGAAGAAGTGACAAGGGGCGCTACCAGTGCACTGTGTCCAATGCAGCCGGCAAGCAAGCCAAGGATATAAAACTGACAGTCCATAGTAAGCGTGACTTTCCTATGCTTTTTATTGGTATCAGTTCTCAGTATGAATTGAAAAGCAGGGTTCACTCTAATATTAACTGTTCTTTTTTTCAGACTGAATAATTTGGAATGCTACTTTAGAATATGTCTTTATGTGTTTTAGGCTAGAAAGTTGCATCCAATTTTAATGCATTTTATCAATAAGGATGGACTTTTTTCAAGCGGTTTAGTGGTTTTTATATGATCTCACTTAAGAGATCACGGATTTCCTAATTGGTTGGTATATACATAGACCAATTGTTTACATCCTTAAAGGGACATATTAAAAAGGCACAGTGCATTTTAATGTGCAGTGTGTTTATAACCTTTATCTTTAACAGCCTTCCACAAACGGAAGGACGGGTCTCAGAAAAAGTATACATAAATTAAATTGAAACTGGAAGTGGCATTTATTTGGCAAATTTAAGCAATAGATGGATGTTATACTGTTCTACTGTCAACTGGAAATGTTCTTTGAGTTATTTTTCTCAATTTCACAAATACAGTCTTTTTAAGTATAAATGCTATTCCTTTGTAAAACATTTATGGAGGATAGGCAGATGTTTGAACCCGTGTTTTTGGATTCATTGATGTATCATCTAATTAGGCTACCCAGCTGATTTAGAAAGTCTTCATCATTTGCATTTGCATCAAGGCCTGACAAACATTGCTGAAACTGAAATTTGAGCTCAGAAAATATATCCACTGCAAATTTGCAGCAGAATCGAGTGCATGGGAAATGTATTAAGCAGCTGACCATACTTGTGATTCAAACAACAGAATGACTAACACAGTATAAATTTTGCACTTAAATGCTGTTTTTGTCTGCTAATTTTGGGTTGAATTCATTTAAAAAATTATGAAGCTTATAGCCAAACTAATTTCCAAAATCTTCCAGTATTCAGTAATCATATTTGAAGACAATTCTTCACATTCAGAAAAAAATTTAGTCTAAGTTTTAAGTTCAAAAAATTATAATGTAACTTTACCACCATTAAGAAATTAAACTACTATATTGTAGGAAAAGTGATTTTATACACCTTCTACTTCTGAAAAAAAAAATGAAACTGCTGATGTTTAAATTCAGAAGAGCCAATAAAATATACCTTGAACACGAATATGTTCAATAACATACTAATATTTTGCACAAAGTGTTTGTTAATAAATAATATAAGCAATAAAGATAGACTTTTGATGCCTTGTATTTTAATAAGCTTTGTAAATTTGTCTTAGTCTTTTTCAGCCTCACCCATATTTTTACCACCATCAGTGTGTTTTTAATTTTTGTTTTGTTTTGTTTTCTTTTACCATCACTTTTAACACATCTTAGCAGATTTCCCGTCAGATTATAATGGATTTATGTTTTTTCAACTTCTTTGAAAACATTTTTGTTTGTAATTTTTGTACAGAATATTCATCACTTTCTTCAGAGTTAGCATTGAGTCCTCAAATAAACAAAAAAACACACCCCTAAGTGATGTCATTAACACCTGTCAATTTGTCAAATCCAAGTATAGTAGGTCTCGCCATAAATTATGTGTGAGAAAAGTTTGTGTATGTGAATGTCTGTCACTGTGAACTAGTTCTAGGAATGGTTATCAGAAAACATGGAGGTACTCTGCTCAGCAGCCAGGTCTTGTTTTCTAATATCGTCTCCACCAAAAGGAAGCAAGGCTCCTTGGAGAAATGGTTAATTCCAGGACAGGGGCAGGAATATGCACGCAGCCTGGAGCAGGCAGTGGGACCAGAAAGTTCAAAAGTACTAAAGTAATAAAATAACATGGGTTTGTCAAATTTCATGATGAGACATGCCTTGCAGTGGGTAAGGATTGGCAATGTGGGGAGTGAGGACCTGAGGTGGGCAGGTGGATCAGGAACCATTTACTGCTCGCCACAGTGGGAAGGAAATGAGAAATCAGTGTTCCCAAGAGCAAGTTGAGAAGAAATCAGCTACTAGATGTCACATGAGAGTAGGCAAGACATAGAGGAAGACAGTCTAGTAAGGAAGTCGGTGGTTAAGAAGCAAGAAGACATTGGGGATCAAGGATCCACAAAGATTGATAAGTAAAAGGACAAGTAAGCCATGTCAAGACTGACATCACTAATTAGAATGTCAGTTGGTTAGAGCTCAGCCTTTACTTCCTGCCATTCTCTACAAGTTTAGGAATTATAGGGGATGGGTGCTAATAAAACTCAGTGTTCACTTAGCACTGTACTCTCCCCCAGCTTGGGCAGGATTCAAGATGGCAGACAGCCTTCATTGGGAAAGGGGACTTGGGTGGCTTTATTCCTCCTCTTCTTGCTCACTTCTGTGTTTGCTGTCTCTTCTATTCTCTTCGATATTGCTGTGGGAAAGGGGGAACGAGGGAAGAGAATAGGCTCATTTTGACCTAAGCTGGATGGTTTCATGCCCTTTATCTGGCAGCCTATGAAAAGGTAGACCTGGAAGATGATTTCATTGGTGACTTCTGTGGGCTCCTGGAGAGTTCTGTTCTTCTGATGACCCAACAAGATAGATATTCTAAGTCAGGGGTCCTGAAACTTTTTAAACAGGGGGCCAGTTCACTGTTCCTCAGACCGTTGGAGGGCCGGACTATAGTTTAAAAAAAAACTATGAACAAATTCCTATGCACACTGCACATATCTTATTTTGAAGTAAAAAAACAAAACGGGAACAAATACAATATTTGTATTTGCATGTGGCCCGCGGGCCGTAGTTTGAGGACCCCTGACTTAGACCTTTAGTATTTCTTGGGGGCAGGGCATGCAGTTGTACCACACCTGACGATTTTGCTCCAATGGCCCGATATGAAACCTATTTCTATCTACTTTAAGTGGTGTTTCATTTTGTTTTGCTTTGGTAAATGTAACGTTCTTAGACTGTACTGTCTATTGGACTTAAATGAACCCCTGAAACGAAAGCTGTGACGTTCTGCTTTATCCGAAACCCAGAAGGAGGGTGATAAAAATGGACAAAACAGGCAAGTCATTATCAGCAGATAAATCACAGGCTTCCTCGTTGTCTTTAATGTGTATTTGCTTTGAGTGCATCATTTAAACACCTGTCACATTTAAGATTTTATGCAGATGCTAAAGCCTAGAAAACTTGTTTCTGCTCCGAAATCCTTTGTAGTTCCACCCAGTATTAAAGGAGGGAATGTCACCACGGAAATATCAGCATTGATCAACAGCGTAATTAAGCTGGAGTGTGAAACACGCGGACTTCCGATGCCAGCTGTCACGTGGTATAAGGACGGCCAGCCGATCATATCCAGTTCGCAAGCACTTTATATTGATAAAGGACAGTTTCTTCATATCCCTCGAGCACAGGTCTCTGATTCAGCAACGTACACGTGTCATGTCAGCAATGTTGCTGGAACTGCTGAAAAATCGTTCCACGTGGACGTTTATGGTAAGGAACATATATGAGCTTTAATCATCTGTCTTTCCACCTCTGCCTTCTAATATGCCAACTTCCAGTTCATTCACTAATAAGGTCCTGGTGGATTTGATCATTTTCAATATGCATGGGTAGGAGTTAGAAGAGTTTGTCCCATGATTTGGAAAAAATGTTTTTAAAAGTTACCGTTAGCAGGAACTGGTCCATTCATTTGGCCAACCATTTGGCCGTGGCACTTGGGGCTTCCAGACCATTTGACTTTTATGCAGAAGGTAAAGGCATTATTAGGACTAAAAGCATTCTCTTCTATTTGCCCTTCAGAAGCCAGACATGGTAATATCCCACAAATATTTAGAATAGCTGTAGATCGGCTGAACCAAGAAATTCTTTCCTCAACAGCTAAGCCGGGGATGAATGGTAGGAGTCCTATTTCATTGGGACTCAAAGAATTGCTTGAAATATTACTTTTTTCTCACAGTTCCTCCCATGATTGAAGGTGACTTGGCTGTACCTCTCAATAAGCAAGTGGTTGTTACCCATTCACTGACACTGGAGTGCAAAGCTGCCGGCAACCCTCCGCCAGTTCTCACCTGGTTAAAAGACGGTGTCCCCGTGAAAGCCAGTGACAATATCCGAATAGAAGCTGGTGGGAAGACGCTAGAAATCACGAGTGCCCTGGAAGTCGATCGGGGGCAGTATGTGTGTGTGGCGACCAGTGTGGCAGGAGAAAAGGAGATCTACGACGACGTTGATGTCTTAGGTACATAAGGATGTCACTATCTGGATTCTCAGATTCATAGCCATACCTGACTAGTTTATTAAAGTTTCTTTTTGTTGCCCTGCCGGTGTGGCTCAGAGGTTGAGCATCGACCTATGAACCAGGAGGTCACAGTTCAATTCCCAGTCAGGACACATGCTCTCTCTGGTTGTGGGCTCGATTCCTAGTAGGGGGCGTGCTAGAGGCAGCTGATCAATGGTTCTCTCTCATCATTGATGTTTCTATCTTTTTCTCCTTCTCCCTTCCTCTCTGAAATCAATAGAAATGTATTAAAGTTGGTTTTGGTGTGGGGTTTTTTTTGGGTGGGGGGGGGCGTGTCATGCATTAAATAAAATAATCGAGAATAAAATAATCTGCAGTAATAAAATAATTTAATTTTCTGTTCAACTCTGGACTGCACATTACTGAGTGCTGGATTTGTCACTAGATCCCAATATCCAAAAGCCTCATAAAGCTTCCACTGGTTTTGATAGAATCCATTGCGTTTGTAAGTGCATAGGTGCATTTTACATCTGGGACCACATCTGCCTGCAGGAAGGGAGAGCATGGTCTTCCGGGCCGAGCACTGTGATGGACAGCAGGAAGCTTAGTCTCTGGGTCTCGGAAGTCATCTTGCAACCCTGAGTCTTACTTCTTTTAAATTGAAGGCTTTTGAATAGAGGCCCGGTTTTTTGAGGTTCCCTCCTTTTATTCTTATGAAAATAAGCAACATAAAATATGAGTCAACTTTATATTCAGATGGTATCAGTAACACCATAGTGCTAGATGAATTGCGAAAAATCCGCAATATGTCAAAAGTACATTCACTGGCCCAGGCAATTGTTATTGTAAAATGTATTTAACATTTCAAATCCCCTTTGTGTACCAGTTACTGCAATACTTACCAACTTAGTGTTGCTTAAGGTGATGCTGTATTTTTTTCTTGTATACATTTCACTGCATGTTACATCTCTGCTGTTTTCTAGTGCCGCCCGCTGTAGAAGGAGGAGATGAAACATCTTACTTCATAGTGATGGTTAATAACTTATTGGAGCTAGACTGTCAAGTGACAGGCTCTCCCCCACCAACTATCATGTAAGGGTTTTGGTATGTCTATTAAATACCTCCCACTTTTTTATTTGAGTGTTTCAGAGCTATCTTGAAAGAGGTCCTGTGTAGCTAAAAAGTGGTTGTATAAAATTACATTCTTTATATTCCTCTTTTAATAGACACACACTATATACAAGGCGACTTTTAATTGATACTCACAGGGTCTTTAAATCTGCTCAATTAGAGGCATTCCTTTTATGCTCTTAGAAATTACATCTCCAGTTTATAGAAACAGACTATTAAGCAGTCTGTTAACTCTTCCTGGGACCCTGAAATGTTTAATGAACAACTAAGTAGAAAGAAATGTACCAGACATATTAGGGAAATAGTTAATGTGCATATATGTTTACTTATTCTATTTTCTCATTCCTTCATTCACAAAGCATTTCTTGAATATTTATCTTTCATTTCCAAAGTGCTATAGGAAATGCAATTAAGGAACAGTCAACTAAGGGAATAAAATATGTTCACCTATGATTATAAAACTATATGGAAAGTGATAATTCATAAGAAGTGAAAAAATATAATGCTATATCATTTCAGGGTTTTAGTTTACAGATGTTTTAGGATTGTGTTCATTTCACTAGTTAATATTATTTAAACATTTCAAGTGAATAATATTTATGGGGCATTTACCTCGTTTTGTAACCTAACATTAATAGATGAATGAAGAACTCAAGACATGGTTATTGGGTTCCAACAATTTGCCAACCTCTGTGTTAGCCTGGGTTTCTTTTTTCCTTTCCCCATGTACAATTTACTTTATAAAGTAAGAAAATAGGAAATTAGGCAAATGAATAATTGAAAATTTATATATGTATGTGTATAAAATATATAAATAAATATAGTTTCTTTAAGATATATATACACATATATATATACAGACACACACACACACACATACACACACATATATATATGAATGTATATGTATATATGAAGATATATATATTCCAGGGACTTAATCATTTAAATATATATCCATACTTCTTTTTGCCTTGTTTCTATAGGTGGCTGAAGGATGGCCAGCTAATTGATGAAAGGGATGGATTCAAGATTTTACTGAATGGACGCAAACTGGTCATTGCCCAGGCCCAAGTGTCAGATACAGGCCTTTATCGGTGCGTGGCAACCAACACTGCTGGAGACGACAGGAAGGAATTTGAAGTGACTGTTCATGGTAGGCTGAAGAAGGGACAAGAGCATTTCATTTAAAATTAATCTTGCATTGTTTCATTAGCTAATTCACATTGTAGCTCTGGATAAATCTTGAGGTGTGGAGAATAATGTAAAGAATGTGAATTTGCGCCCTGGCCAGTGTGGCTCAGTTGGTTGGGTGTTGTCCCTGCACTGAAAGGTTGCTGATTAGATTCCTGGTCAGGGCACATGCCCAGGTTGCAGGCTCGATCCCCAGTAGGGAGTGTGCAGGAGGCAGCCCATCAATGTTTTGCTCTCATGTTGATGTTTTCTCTCCTTCTCCCTTCCTCTCTCTCTAAAAATCAATAAAATAAAATAAAAAGTGAATTTGACCTGGCTGGGGTTCTCAGGTGGTTGGAGAGCCATCCTGTATACCTCCAACAGGTTGCAGATTCGATCCCAGGTTGGGGCTCATACGGGAGGCAACTAATCGATGTTTCTCTGTCACATTGATTGTCTGTGTCTCTCTCCCTCCCCCCCTTCCTCTTTCTCTAAAATTAATGAAAACATATCTCTGGGTGAGGATTAAAAAAAAGGGAATTTGAATTAAATATTGGTAGATTTTTAAGTCACTTTATTAACACACTTACCCAAGAGATACCATGTGAATGCATAGAGAGAGAACTGAAATGTTAGGATATTCTGCATAGAATGCCAGGTCTGTGGAATGATCCTAAGTAAGATAAAAGAGGGAGGCAGAAAATTCCACATCAGAGGGTTATGTCAGCCTTGAAGGGTTTCGCCAAAACAGGAGGGAGTGTGAATAGAGTCATTTCCAGAAATGGAGGCCGAGGGTGTTATGCAGGATCCGGGGCATCTAAGTGCATTCACAAAACTGGCACGTGAGTGTGAAAACCATTACTGCAGCGACAGAAGCAACTTTCTGGCAGGTTATTATGTGTCTCACTTGCCAGCAGAGCCTGGGAAGGAGGGACTGGAACGAGAGGCCGGGGAGCCATTTGGAAGTCATCGCAGAGGTTTCTATGAATGTCAAGTTCATTTTCCCCTCTCCATCCAGACGCTTTTTTCCTGCCTTTTCAGTCCCGTGATGGAATATAGCGATCCTGTTTCACAGTCTCAGTTCCAATTCCTGAGTGAGGGAAGCTGGCAGGGCCAGCTTAAAGCAAGTGGCCATCCTGGGTTCGGTCAGCCTTGCTGGGGGCAGGGTCACCCACTATAAATATGGGTGCTGGTTTAATGAAGGAGCTGTCAAGAAGGGGAGGGTCATAATAAAGAGGGAAAACGCACCCAAAGGTGTAAGCTAAGCATACATGTGGATTGCTGTTGCTGCAAATATATTGTACTCATTCTTTTGAGAAGTAGGGTTTTATAATTAAGAAATAAGTACTCACTAAAGTATAAATTAAGTGCATGGGGTAAAATTATTTCATGTTTTGTTTACATTTTTACAGTTTCTGGTTTCATTTTGCATACAGATTTTTAAGTGTCTGACCCCACTGATTATGGTTTTTTGTTTCCTTCTTTCCTCCCTCCATCCCTCCCTTCTTCTCTCTTTATCCCTCTCTCCCTTCTATTCTACTTTCTTCCTCTCTTGAATCTAGTTCCTCCAACAATCAAATCCTCAGGCCTTTCTGAGAGAGCTGTAGTGAAATACAAGCCTATCACCTTACAGTGCATAGCCAATGGCATTCCCAATCCATCCCTTACATGGTTAAAAGATGGCCAGCCTGTGAGCACTGCCCAAGGAAACTTCAAAGTAAGTAGAAATATTAGTGAGCCCCAAATGAGAAAGCTACACAGATCTCCCATGAGTAGCACATGCTTCTTTCCAATTGTAGATTTTCCTGTCGTACGGATTTTGCCGAAAATTTATTGAAACAATATGTGTTTTCCTTAGCATTTTTAAGAGCATTTCACTTAATATTTTCATATGAAGAATGGAATTAATTAAAAACTAATAATTTGAACAGTCATATCCGTTTTTAATTTATTAGTTGGTACTTTTATTATTTTGATTGATGACTATCTTAACTATTGAAAAATTGGTGTTTTATGAATGAATATTGTTCATCAATACCGCGTAGCCCCAATATGTTCACCATAAACTAAGATTAAGGTAAAGACACATCTATATAGACCTAACTGAAAAATATATTTTAACCAGTGTTATAAGCTTCAAGAGGGCAGAGATTATATAGCTGGTATATAACTGTATCTCAGTACATGTTTGTTAAGTATATAGGTAGATGATAGATAGATACATAGATTCCAAATCTAGATAATTTAAATGATGCATTTAAAATCCAGATTAATACGTATCGCTACTAGGTTCAAGTTATTTGATTGATGTGTGTATGAACTTGGCTTGTAATAAGTTTTCAATAGGGAGGAATGTGCTGAGTTCTTTTCTCAGTACAATAGGTGGATATCTGATCATTTATTATTCCTATTCCCAATCCAACGGAAGGAATCTTATACTTTGGCTAGTGAAAGATTTAGTATGTAGCCTTCAAACATAGTGCAAGTAAACAACTGTTTACTGGAAATAGACATTTATCACATAATCATACAAAAGTATAATTGCACAAGTGTAAAGAGTAATTTTAAGAGAAAATATAGCAAAGTATGACAACAGATAATGAAAAAAGCCTTTAAGCATGCGAGTGATTTATGGAGAAAGCCTGTGAGCAGAGATCTGAAGAATATGTAGGAGTTAAATGGGTGAATTAGTGGAAGAGAACTAGAAGGTTAATTCAGAGAAGGTGTATATAGGCAAGCAATTTAAAGTAAAGGAGAGGATGACAGCTCTTAAAGACCTGAAAGCAGCCAGTGGAGTAGGAACAGAGAGCAAGAATGAATGGTATTAGGGGAGACCAGAGAGAGTAGGTAGGAGGTATTTAAGGAATATTAATGATTTTATTTTTACTGCAAAGCAATGGGAGATCTTTGAAAGGTTTTAAGAGAGGAGAGACACGATCAGGGTTGCATTTTAAGTAGTTACCCAGGCTCCTTTTGGAGAATGAATTGAAGGATCAAGAGTAGATATGTGGAAATCAATTAGGATTTATTTGTGTGGGAGAGAGAGAAGATAGAAATTTGGACTCACATACTGGCCATAGAAATGAGGATAGGTGGTTAGATTTGAGAGTTATTTATTGTTTATATTATTAGGGCTCAGTGAAAGATTGCTTATGAAAAGTGAGGGAGAGGGAAGTATCAAGGGAAACTGAGGAATCTAACCTACACAAATGCATAGATTATCATGACACTCAGTGACATAGGAGACTCTGGGGGGTGGGGGGACGGGGGTGGAGAGGGACCTGTGATTTGAGTTTTAGATTTTGGGGGTTGAGTTGACTTTGAAACAAACTAGTGAAAATGTCAAGTAGACCATTGAATATGTGTTCCTGGAGCTCGAAGGAGAGCTCTGGCTGGAGATGCCGACACTTAGATGATATTTGAAACCATGGTCACAGTTGATTTGATCCAAGGGAAGAATAAAGGGTAAGAAATATGAGAAAGAACTGACTGAGTTCAGAGTCCTAAGAAATCATGGCATTTAAAGGCTATGTACAAAAGTCCAGAAGGGAATATAAACATATGAATGTGCTGCTTAACATATTTAGCACGTATGGCTGGAGAATAGTGGGAGTTTACATGGGAGTGTATGGAGAGAAGATCATTTGGGGTCAGAATGTGGTAAGCCTAGAGGGCTATGTTGAGCTGGGATTTCATTCTGGGCAAAGTAGTGAGCCATGAACAAGCTTTGAGGGAGGACTGGTAAAAGGATCAAATTTACATTGTGGACAAATTATTCTGGCAACGGCATGCAAGATAGATTAAGAGTTTGGGAGGTTGGAGACACTGGAATATAAATTAAGCTATTATAATCCCACAGTGGCTGTGAGAATGGAAAATAAGGGATCTGAGAAACATCGAGTGGTATGGTTAATAGGAGAGGCATAGCGGGCTCCAAAACCTAGGCGACTTGGAGAAGAGTGGGTGCCATTCAACAAGGTTGGAAGCATGCAATGGGAAGCAGGTTTAGAGATACAGGAAATAATTATAAGCTTTGTTCGGGACATGTTAAATTTTGTGTGCTAACCTGTCCAGCAGATAGTTGGAACCACAAATGCTGAGCTCAGGAGAGAAGTTGAGGCCAGCACTGTAAATTTAGGAGTCGGCACAGGATTCTTCACTGAAGCCAAGGGTTTGGCTGAAAACTGTCAGAAAATTAAGTTTCCTCTTTCTGGGACAGATTCTGTAAAGTCATCTAAGGAAGTCAGAGAATGAGAACTAAGGGGAAATACTGTGTGTTCAAAACTCAGAAAGTAGAGTGATTCAAGGAAAAGGTCAGTCAACAATGCCAAATGCTATAGATGATGAGAAGAGAGGATGTGCTCACTGCATAGGCTGCTGGGTATTTGTCATTGGAAGTTACTGGTAGCCTCTGAGTAGAGTTTCAAAAAATAACCACTGAATCACCAGTTCCAACATGATGAAGGACAGTTGCAATAAGTTTAGGAGGGACGTAAGGAAAGACAGGAAAATATTTATCTGCATTTTCGTTAATTACACTTTATAATTTTTTACTTTTTTTCTGGCACCCACGACCATTTAATAGTAATAAAAAAAGATTGTTGTTTTAAAACTTTTTATGAAGTGTGATATCAATGTGACTGTGTTTTCTCAAATAGCTTAAATTTTAATCACATAACTCATAATGCTAAAGTTTTTTATTCAGTGGAGTTTTATGACTCTACCAGCAGGCTAGCCTTAGATTATTTTGCATTTTCCAACCAATAAGAAAAGCTCTTTAATAAAACGAGTCTATTTTCTTGTGCAGGATGAAGTGATCTGGCTCTAATCTTCTAAGAGAAAATGAAGATAATGGCATAAAAATATAATTAGATATCATAAAGTTAAATGAGTTTGTCTATCTCCACAAAGGTTTTCAAGTCCAAGATTAAGTACCAAATGCTGTTATGCTTTCTGCTCCCAATTAGATACAGTCTTCTGGTCGAGTTCTACAAATTGCCAAAACCCTGATGGAAGACGCTGGCAGATACACATGTGTGGCCACCAATGCGGCGGGGGAAGCCCAGCAGCACATTCAACTGCACGTGCACGGTAATGTCATCCCTACGTCCTGACAAAAGTATATTTCTTTGCCTTTTTATTTTAAAACACCGTGGGCTCATTTTTATTGAATTACACTGTTAAAAAGAATAAGTGTTTATTTTAGTCTGTATAAAAAAACTTAGGTTTTTGTTTTATTTACTTTATTGTAATTATAATTGCTCGTCTTAAGATCTTTAGTTTTCAGGTTGACAAATGGGATATGCCAGAGCTTATAAATAAATACACTAGAACACCCCCTCCCCCGTGCATGAATTTCGTGCACTGGGCCACTAGTAAATAAATAAATAAATACACTACCCTGTATTGGAAAGTATTCGAATTCTGTTGACAACTTTTCGCAGAAAACTTTTGTTGAAAAGGCAGAAGTTGCAAGGTTGTCCCATAGTATTGTCTGTGATCTTCTTGCCTGTAAGAGGGATTTTGTGAGTCGAAGCTAACCTTGACGCAGGATCTTCTCTCATGGTGACCATGGACCACCTCATGAATATTACAGCTTCACAGTAAACTTGAAAGACTGACCTTGAATGTAAGACTTCAGTCCCTGGAGAGTCATCAGAAAGGGCCAAGAAATACAGACTTGGACTTCCCTGAGTCAGCCAAGGATATTTGTAGAGAGTTATTCAAGATCTCCACCTAAGCAGCATTCATTTTCTCTAATTCTAATTGCTGTTAAATCATTAATTAATTAATTAATTCATATATTCACTCCACATTTACTAAACCATTTAACCTAAAAGAATGCCTTAGCACCTACCTTAATTCCAGGTACATAGTAGGCGGTCAGTAAATATTTAACAAATGGAAGAATAAATAAGTTAATAAAAAAATTTAGAACATTGAATTCTTCTAATCTATTTCTTTACATGTTTTCTTTAAATTGGCCGGTTAAAAGATTCAAATTATCAGTTCCCTAAATGTTCCCAATAAACCAATTTATTCTCTCCCCAGTTCCCTAAATATGAACACCTAAGTTATGGATGTCATACACACAAACCATGTTCCTTAAAAGGATGATTGTAACCATCTTGGAATTAGCTTACCATGCTTAAGGCTTTGGTGACAGGCTAACCCTACTCTCCCTTAAATGGCCTTGAGTTTACCTTGTTCCTCCTAAAGCCTAGTATCTGTCCCCAGGGTTCTTTGGCAGCTGTCTCCAGCACCTACTCAGATCTGCACTTCCATCTAAGAGTATGCTGGGGTGGGCTTGCTCTGCTTTCCCCATTTTCCTACCCAGCGGCTCTTTTTTTCCTCCTGGTATAAACTGTTTGTCTTCTCTTTTCCAACATTTCAGTCCTTATCTGGTCTCCATTGGTTAAGAGGAAACAGGGAAGTGGGATAGCTTGTTATGTTGCAATCATCTCGTGCACTGGGGTCCAGCTGACCGTTTAAGTTCTGTGCTAACTGTGATCTAGGTTACCTTGAGCAAACAAATTTATTTTCTCGGAATATCTGACTTGTGGAGTGCTTTTGAGGATTAGAGGCGTTCGATATAAAATATCTCCCACCTCTACTCTCTCAGGCTATCAAAAAGAAGGATGTTTTTGTTCTCTAGAATGACTTAAAGTACTTAAATGATGATTCTGTCATGAAGAACAGAGTATATGTCTCCAGAACCAGGGAGAACTAAACTTTATTGTTTGGGAAACCCAAACTGTAATGTTCATAAAAATTGTACATGCTGCATGTTAAAAATACAACTTCCTGGGCCCAGTCCCAGATCTTCTGAAACAGCATCTCTGATACAAGTGGTCTGTGTGCCATTACTTAGAGAAACATTGGCCCAAACTCTAAAGACTCACCTAGAGTCTTGCCAGTGTAGTCAAGAGTGACTGAAAACCAGAGTGCAGGAAAGAAACCAAGCATCCCATCCAATCCAGAGCAACAACAGAAGAGGAAAAGCAGAATCAATACACAAGTCTATAAACCGAGGGTCTGATTGTGGTAACACCGTGTATGTTAGCAGGAGATGCAGTTGGGGTACACACAGTTACATGGAAAATAATCAGAGAGTAAGGGACCAAGCTCGAAGACATCTGGGTCAATGTGAGAAGAAAGAAACAGAAGGTGAGTCAGGATTTATTTTAAGGATTTATTAAAACAATCTCCTTTATATGAATAAAAGCAAGATACTATACTAGCTGAAAATGTTTCATCTCATACCATCTTGACTTGTCTGGATAACAGTTCATCAGCCTGAATTAATAATAAAGTGAACTTTAAATGTAATACTTATTATGACCAACCTGGAGGAATAGTTGGCTATGTGAATGTGACAGGAATCTGGAGAGAAAGCTGGAATATCATCTTGACACTCATGACTGCAATGGTGCCTTGAATACAAATGACTCCAAATTTTATCTGTCTTCTTTGTTACTTGTGTTATTAACTTCAGCAAGAATTGGAGATGTTAAAAAAAAGTGTAGGAATTTCTAAGGGATTAGTGGATGACAGATTTCCAAAAGATCTCAGAGGTTAAAATGACAAGTTAATCTGATGTGGGAAACCACATAAGAATAGGGTGGAGAAGAGGGGGGAGATGTTACCAGACCTGAGGCCCTGAACCTAACTGTCCCCTATACCTGGGCTCCTGAGCATTAAAGAGAAAAAACCAACATGATATAGAAAAATGTTAGTTACATGCAAACAAGTGGTTAGAATAAGATGGAACTTGGAGACATTGTAGAAAATAGGTCTACCTTTCATCTACCTTTCATCTAGCGCCAATATTCCACCTTTGTGTGGAAATTACCTAAAAATCCGTACAGCTACAGCGGTCTGGTAGACACCACACATTGAAATACTAGATGTATTAATGGCTTTCTTCAATTACTGTAGAGATAATAACTCAGTTTCATAATAAAGTTAATCAATCTTAGAAATCAGTAATAGAAGCTTATAATATGAAAAACAAGAGAGGAATTGATTCTGTTATACTCTTGCTCTCTGAATGCTTCCAAAGTAATACAGTGGGGCCTTGACTTACGAATTTAATTTGTTCTGTGACGGAGCTCGTAGCTCATATTACTCGTATGTCAAATCAAAAAGTGAATGAATGAGACACGTGATGCTGGGCTGATGTTGTGGCATTCACTGTGAAGTTCGTTGCACCAACTAGCGGTGGGGTATCTGAAGCTGGCTCGTAACCTGAATTTTAGCTCGCAACTCAAAGCAAAAAATTGGCCGAGAGACGGCTCGTATCTCGAAAAACTCGTTAGTCGGGACACTCGTAAGTTAAGGCCCCACTGTATATCTAATTCTGTTACTGTATATTAAAAGGGACACTGAAAAATCTATAAGAAAGCAGATATTCTTTAATTTAGTTTATTCATTAATTTATTCAATCAATTCTATAGTTGCCTTTTAAGTTAAGATTTGTTTTTATCCCAATCTTTATTGTTGGGGTAATACATTCAGCAAATGAGCATCTATGACAATTGTCATCCAAAAGTGTTCAGTCCTAACAAACTCAGCCTCCCAGCTGTTAATATTTTTCTTTCTTATAATAAAGACTAGTGGCCCAGTGCACGAATCCGTACACATTGAAAAGAAATTAATTAGAAGAAATATTTTAATATTGCCATTTGCCCTTTCTCTATAATAGAAGTGTCAACCAAATTCATGATGGACAGATGGAAACACACGCGTGCGATTGGCACCAAGGAGAGCTTTCTATGTATCACACATGTGCGAGTCAACTTAGGCTTTTATATATATAGATCATAGATGATTCCATTATTCTCAAGCATGGGAAAAAAGCCTTTCTAAAAGGTGAAGTAAGGGTCCATGGTCTCCTGGACTGAAGACCAAGTCATGATCACGAGAAGAGGAGCGTTCTTATGATTCCCTGGTTTTTCCAGGGGAGTTCTATGCATCACAAGAGGCAGAGACTCTCAGTAGGTGGTCCTCTTGATTATGAAGGTTTCATAATTCTGGAAGTCCTAATTCTCTAGACCAAGATAAGAAATCATATCTAAACCTCAGGTATTTGCCAAGTGAGACAGATGTTTCCACACACAAACAATAATATGGCTCAAGCATTTATTTCGTCTGCACTTAATTGTTTCCTGGGGAAAAATCAGCCATGATGAAGCACTCAGAAGTATGATGTGGTGGATAAAAGCCTGGGCTTTGAATTGGGTTCATATATTTCCAAGTGATAGCTATAGAACACTGAGTTTAGATGTTAACTGTTTGAAAGTTCAGTTTCCTCACCTGTAAAATGGGGAGGAAAATGATAATGCCATAATCAGGGAGGTTATTGTGAGGATTAAATGAAAGACTATGTGTGAAAAGCTTAGGCTGGTGTTTGGTTCCTAGTCATCATCTGTAAAAAGTACCTTTAACCCCGTTTGAGCCAAACATATATTTGGCGCCTGGCCCTTCTCCTGCAGCATTTTAACAAATATATCTAAAGTCCTTTACTGTTGGCCAGAAACCATCTGGGGTCTGTATGAGTTGTCTGCTGAAAACATTAATGGAGCTCCCCTTGATTTAATTTTATTATTTTAAAGTATTTGCTTGGCTAACATCTCCTAACACCCACTTAAAAAAGGTTTCTCTATCATTTCTGTGTTTTACTTACTAGCTCACTTGTGGCCTAAAGGAGACTTGGGAATATTGTAGGAGGAACATTTTTTTTTCTTTCTTCGTGGGTAACTTCAGTTCAGGATTCTACTATACTATTTTCTTGGTATAGATGAATTTATTACTCTGTCATAATCCTGGTGGTTAGGGAGGATTAACTCACCCATATTACTTTTACATCAGTTATGTATTAATCCAAATTTAACCAAGATTTGAAAAAGTCAATTCATGCCTTTGAGTGGTTGAAGTAATAGGCAGAATCTAGCCTATGATGTGTCCAGAAGAAGGTACTGTGGTTTTGGCATGATGTGGCTTTGGAGAAAGGAAAATAGTGGGGAAAAACCAACAAGTTGCATGGAATTCAACCTCCTGCTTGGAGTATGCAGACATTTTCTCATCTTTAGCATAACATATTGTTACCTTACTAATACGTCTGTCTAGAAAAGTGTTCACTTAAATTCAAATTGCAAGACTATCTCTTTAAATGCTAGAAGGGAATAATTGAAATTACATTTGTTGAGAAGACTATTTTTTTCCATTGAATGGGCTTGGCCCTCTTTTTGGAAATTATTTGACTTTAGATATTTGTTTATTTCTGTGATCTCAAATCTATTTTATTGCTTAAATGTCTTTACTTATGTCTGTACCACACTGTCTCTTTTGTTCATTTCCCTCCAGCTTTATTGAGGCATAATTGACAAATAAAATTGTACATATTTAAAGTGTGATGATTTTATATATGTACTAGAGGCCCGATGCACTAAATTCGTGCATGGGTAGGGTCTCCAGGCCTGGCCCGTGATCAGGGCTGATCTGTGGGGCGACCAGCAAAGCAATCAGGCCCCCTGCCCCCAACTGGCACCCACCTTGGCTGGCCTGGGGCCTGCGGGCTGGGGGCAGCTCCTGTGTTGAGCATCTGCCCCCAGTGGTCAGTGCACATCATAGCGACTGATCATTCCACCGGTCATGCCATCGTTTTGTTGATTTGCATGTTAGGCTTTTATTATATAGGATACTTTGTAGAATGATGATTACAGTCAGATTAATTAACACATCCTTCACCTTATGTAGTTATGTGTGTGTTGATAACACTTAAGATCTACTCTCTCCCAGTATTATTACCATGCTATACTTTAGAACCCTAGAGTTTATTCATCTTATAAATGAAGGCTTGTACCTTTTGACCAGCATATCCCCATTTCCCCCATCCCCCAGCTCCTGGTAACCACCATTCTACTCTCTGTTTCCATGAGTTTAACTTTTCCACATATAAGTGACATCATATAGTATTTGTCTTTCTCTGTCTGGCTTATTTCACTTAACATCACGTCCTATAGGTTCATCCATGTTGTTTCAAGTGGCGGGGTTTCCTTCTTTCTCATAGCTGAATAATATTCTTCTGTGTGTGTGGGTGACATCTTTTATCCATTCACCTGTTGATGGACAGTTAGGGTATATCTATATCTTGGCTTTTGTGAATAATGCTGAAATGAACACGGGTGCAGATATCTCTTTGGGAGACTGGTTTTATTTTATTTATCATTAAGCACTGGTCTTTTATTCCTAACCTGAGATACTGATTTTATTTCCTTCTTATATATACCCAGAAGTGTGATTGCTGGAACATATGGTAGTAATTTTAATTTTTTGAGGAACCTCCGTACTGTTTTTCATAGTTGCTGTATCAATTTACATCACAGCAGCAGTGCACAGGGGTTCTTTTCTCTCCACGTCCTCGCCAGTTTATATGAGTGAGTTACGTGTCTGGGCTTCTTGCAGAACCACCCAGCCTGGAGGACGCAGGGAAGATGCTGAATGAGAGCGTGGTGGTGAACAACCCTATACAGCTGGAGTGTAAGGCTGCAGGGAATCCCTTGCCTGGTATGTTTACTTGTGGACTCTATGACTTATTAACTTTTTAAGATTTCTGGGAATAGTTAAATCTGTTTATGAGCATAATATAGTAATTACTAATAAAGAAAGGTTATAGATACATTTCAGGGTAGTATTTTCAAATTTTCATTACTTTAAATGAATAATTAATTGTCTTATTGTCCTTTCTGTGTCCACAAAACACATGTTGATATTTCATATACATTTATTTTGAAAAATATATTTTTATCTAGTCCATATTGGTTATCTTTTTAAAAAATATATATTTTTATTGATTTCAGAGAGGAAGGGAGAGGGAGAGAGAGATAGAAACATCAATGATGAGAGAGAATCATTGATTGGCTGCCTCCTGCATACCCCACAATATCAAGCCCA